CTGCCTCTGAGCACCCCCTATCCCCCATGGGACAGCCAGGAAGCCCCATTTGACCTCCCAAGGCCAACTTCCTGTTACTGGGTCCTTGGGGCCCAGTGGGGAAAGGGCTGGCTTTGGAGCTAGGCTGACCTGAGGCAAGTCCCACCACACAGCTGCTGTGTGGCCCCGGGAGAGCCCTCTCTAGACCTTGCTCTTCTCTTCCTGGAAAGGGGTCCACTGCCACCCTTCAAGGTGCCAGGAGGATTGGATACAAGGAGAGTCGCATGCCCCTTCGTGACCTTGACAGGAACCACAATCCTTCTCTCCCCACCGTCCTCCCTGCTTGTGGGCAGCTCTCACCAAAAAAATAAAAAAGTGTTTCTCCCTTTGCGAAGCCGAAAGCAGACACCACCAGTTATGCTTCTGCCTCTGCAGACCTGGCTGCACCTGTGTCCCCTGAGAGCCTGCGGGCCCTTCTCCAGGCTGAGCACCCTCTGCCCTTCCTCGGTCTTCCTTCCTGTCCTCCCCAGCCTCCCCCAGCGTGTGTCATGACCAGCAGGCCTGGGAGTGCCAGGGGCTCCCTGCTCTTGGCCCCTGACCATGCAGTGGATTGCAGTCTCCCACCTGGTTAACCAGTAGCCAAAGGCACGACCCACGCCTGGCCCCATGACCAATCTCGCACTTCCCATACCTTTGCCCAGAATGGCCCGATCCCTGCCCCCATCCACTGGCCTCCTCTGATCCTCTGACAAAGAGGCCAGGCCAGGAAAACTGCACTGAATGGGTCCTAACTCTGTTATTCAATGCAGTGCCTCCTTAGGCTCAGGAAACCCTGGGTTTGCTTGGTCACTGGTGAATCGAGAGGGACAGGCTGTCACAGCAGTCAGTCCACTGTGTGAGGGTCTGTGTCTCACATTGGATGAGGAGCCCCTTGAAGGCTGGGACACTTCTCCTCATCTCCAGGTGCCCAACCCCTGGGCACAGAAGAGGGCTCACTGCTATTTCTTAAACAGATAGATGGCGTGCTGAGATTCCAGCTATGGTTTAAGGGTTGTTTATTAACTAATTTCACCCCCTCAACAGCTCTGTGAGAAAGGTACTATTCACCTCCTCACTTCACAGATGAGGAAACCGAGGCACCCAAGAAAAGAACTCTGTCCAAGTTAGCAAGGGAGGGAGCAGACTTTGAGCTCCGACAACCTGCACACTCCCTCGGCTTCCAGCCATGGGATTCCATGACTCTTCAGTTTCTAGCTCCTGTGGACAGGGTGGTCTGAGCTCTCTCAGGACAAAGATGAGACAACAGCAGAAGGGGTGACAGAGTGACTTGTGCACCCTGTCACCTGGGCACAGCTGCGAGAATCCACGGGAGAAAGCAGACCTTCTTTCAAAAATGAATTCCCTGGGCTGGGGCTGGGGCTCAGCGCTAGAGTGCTCGCCTAGCACGGGGAAGGCCCGGGGTTCGATCCTCAGCACCACGTAAAATAATAAATAAAATAAAGGTATTGTGACCAACTACAACTAAAAAATAAATAAAAAATAATGAAGCCCCTGATGCCAGGACAGTGGGGTGGGAAAGGAGTGGGACGTGGGATGTCACCAAACAGGCCAGGTGTAACTGGGTAACCAAGCACACCATCCTCTCTTCTCTTAAATGCGTGTGTGATTTTTCCCTAATGAAAAGTTTGAGTTTTTAAAATGCGACAAAGTGGAGCCCAGAAATACCATAAAATGCAGACAGTCTTCTCTGTTTTCTTTCCAGTTCCTTCCTCCCCCTCAGGTCTGCCTCTTGGTCTCCCAGGTTGTTATGTGACTCTCAGTCTGTCGCTCTGTTTCTTGGTTTGTCCCTGTGGGTGTCATTTGCTGTGACTCTGGGAATCAGGGAGAAAATGGCAGTGCCCCCCACACCCCCTGTCTTTATCCCATCTCCTCCCAGAGCCCCTCCTTTTCCCCTCCCTGTGTCCAGATCTCTGTTCTCTTCTCCTTGCTCTGACCTTGTCACCCATGTTAACTGCACATCGAGGCACAGTTGGCTCCGGGTTGGTGCCCCTCCTCTGGACTACACGCATGGGGTATTTTCATTTGGTGTTTAAAAAGCTCAGATAGCTGGACGCGGTGGCGCATGCCTGTGATCCCAGCAGCTTGGGAGGCTGAGGCAGGAGGCTCATGCTGAAGTCAGCCTCAGCAAAAGTGAGGCACTAAGCAAATCAGTGAGACCCTGTCTCTAAATAAAATACAAAATAATGCTGGGGATGTGGCTCAGTGGTCAAGTGCCCCTGAGTTCAATCCTTGCTCCCAAAAAAGGCTCAGATAATGCTGCCATGAAAGAAAATATTGGTGCTTGAAAAAGACAAAAATCCATTTTTCACCTACCATTCTCCTCCTCCTCTCCTCCTCCTCCTCCTCCTCCTCTTCTTTTTATATAATGGAACCTGGGTATGACTTCACAGCTATACCCCAGCCCTTTTTATTTTATTTTGAGACAGGGTCTTGCCAAGTTGCCCAGGCTGTCCTTGAACTTGAGATCTTCCTGCCTCAGCCTCCCAATCACTGAGATTACAGGTGAGCCCCATCATACTCCCTACCATCCTTAACTGTAAAATAGAGTGTCGCTTATTTTCATTTCTTTTCCCTGACTAAACATAACGCTTGCCATGTGCCGCCTATTAGGCTCAGGTTCTTCCAGTTATTGTCCCTCGGAGCCCTCTCACAACCTGTGCAGCACGTATCCCCACTGCACAGATGAGGAAACTGAGGCTTTGGGCAGGTTGAGGAAAGCCCAAAGTCACTCAGCTACTGACTGACTGACAGAGCTGGAATCGGATCCCTTCTTCTAGTTTCGAAACAGGAAACCCGTTCCGCACTAAAAGTACATGAAGATACTGATAATGCCTTAGTGTCTGGGATCCTCAGGGGTCCCCTACTCTTAACTGGTAGACCCATCTGAATAACACGCTCAGGCCTGAGGCTGCCCCATGAGAAGGACCTCTCACGGGGACCTTGTCCAGAGAGATGACCATGATGGTGAGGAGGTCCTGGGAGGGACGAAGGGAGGCTCTTGGGGACCTGCTCTGTCTTCTCAGGCCTGCTGAGGGCCCAGAGGGCACAACTGGAAAGGTCTCTGGGCTCGGATCACAGGGTCAACTGCCTGCCTCCTGGGTATCTTTTGGGGTACCCCATAGGTACCCCAGTCCAACCTGTCCCAATTAAATACTCCACCAGCCTGCTCCTCCTATGGAGTCCCCGCCTCATGAGGGCCACACTACATACCCATCCGTCCAAAAAGAGGCCCAGAGTCACCTCCCCTCCTTCCCTGCCAAATGCAGTCCCATCTGTCCACACTCACAGCTTCCGCCTTAGTCCAGGCCTCCTTCCTCTTCAATGAGACTATTGCCGGGGCCTTCTGCCCCTCCTGCTACCTCCCACCTGTGCTCCACCCACAGCTTCTCCTTCTCTCCCAGCTGCAGAGCACCACTGGAGAGAGAGGAGAAAGGGACAGGTCCCCTCAGACTCTCTGCTCCGCAGCCCCCACCCCCCTCCAGCGGACACTTAGTGCTCTCTGTCTACCTGTCCTTCAAGAATCACCCCCTTGCTATTCTCCCCCCACTCCTCTCGGGCTCTCTCCCTCCTTTATTGTGTCTGAACGGAAGGGGTCTCTTTTTTAAGTGTCATCGGACTGAAGGGGTTTCTTTTTTTAAGCTGGGTGTTCACGGCTCCTTCTTTCTCTTTTGTCCTCTACAGGGCAAAATGTCCCCAATATTCTAAGCAGATTCCATGACACCAGTGATGGTCCTTTGTTGTTGTTGTTGTTGTTATATCTTCTTAGATCTAAAACATTTCCCTGTTAGAGTAAGAATTCTTGATTCCCACCATCTGGGCAGGACTTCGAAGATGTCCAATCTTTCCCATTTGGTGTTCATAAGCCAGGGGCTAACCTCGATCCTGTTAGAACAGTTAGTAACAAAAAGACAACAGAGCCGGGCACGGTGGCGCACACCTGAAATCCCAGTGACTCGGGAGGCTGAGGCAGGAGGATTGCTAGTTCAAAGCCAGCCTCAGCAACAGGGAGGCCCTAAGCAACACAGTGAGACCCTGTCTTTAAATAAACTACAAAATAGGGCTGGGGATGTGGCTCAGTGATTGAGTGTCCCTGAGTTCAATCCCTGGTACCAAAAACAACAACAATAACCAAAGACAACAGAAAACGAATATTGGCAAGGATAGAGAGGAAAAGGAACTCACACCCAGTTGGTGGGAATGTAAGTCAGCACAGCCACTATGGAAACAATAGGAAGGTTCCTCAAAAAAATTAAAAATAGAACAACCACAGGATTCAGCAACCCCACTACTTACTGGGTATATATTCAAAAGAAATGAAATTGCTATGTCAAAAAGATACAGCAAGCCAATGCCGATGGCAACACTATTCACAAGAGCCAAGATAGAGAATCGACCTAAATGTCCAACAGCAAAGAACAGGTAGAGAAATGTGGTTCATCAACACATTCGGGACAGGGAAAGAGGGCAGTCCTGTCACATGAGACAACATAGAAGACGGGGGAGGATACCATGTTAAGCAAAAGGAACCAGACACTTAAAGGCAAACGCTCATTATCATTCATCTCAACAGTCCAAAAAGGCTGATCTCATACACAGCAAAGGGTAGGAAGTGTCTGCCAGAGCCTGGGGGAAGGAGCCCAGGGATGGAGAGAGTGGTCATGGGCACCAGTTACGGGGGCTATTCCACCTGATTAATAGATGAACAAACTGGGGTCAGAAGCTGCAGAGTTGGGATTTGAACCCAGAACCCTCTAATTCCACGTCTGGGCTCTGTTCACTCACTTTGTGGCTCTGAACCAAAGATGAAAGGAATTGACCCAGGAACCGACCCCTGCTTCTTTCCTCCACGCCAGCCCGCCTGCACATTACCTAACCCCTGCCTTCTCCCAGTTTCCATCAATCAACACAGAAGACAGGTGCCTGGGACATGCAGTTGTCCCGCCTCATTACCTGGCACTCACCTTGCGTTTGCAGTGAACATCTGGCTGGTAACGGGCCACCTGAAGCCCGGGTGGGCGATGCACTAGCGGACGAAGTGTCTCTGGATTGTTCTTGGGGCTCCTGGTTATGACTGCTTCCTCTGGGCTGGTGTCCTCGCCAAGTCTCTTCCCCGCACCCAACAGGCAAATACCCAGTCAAATATTTACCTGAGAAAGGAAAGCAGGTGAGCAGCCCTCTTCCTGGTTTCACAACACCCTGGCTACCCTTCTGCTCTTCCTCTCCTTCTCATGTTGCAAAAGAGGGAGCTGCTCTCCTGCAGCCTCTCCTCCCCTCGCTGCTGACCCTTACGGGACCCCCCTCGCCTGGCCCTCCGGTTGTCAGAGCTTCGTCCGGCAGCTGTGGCCCCTTAGACTAGCTTTGAAAATTATTATAGACAATAGACTAGGAATCTGCCTCACAGCAGGGCAGCTCGTCCCCCTGACTTGCTGGTTCCCCTTGGAAACAAGGCAGCCCATTTGCTGGGAAAAGAAGCTGGAGATAGTTCAAAACTGAACCTCACCTGCATGCAGACCAGCTGCTCGCCTGCCAGACCTTCCTGCTCCCTGTGCAGAAAATAAGGCTGCTGCTGGGTGGGACCTTCCCAGGCTGGACCCTACTCAGCACAGGACGAAGTTTCACCCAGGGACTGGGAGGGGAAGTGCTCGACGTAGTCAAGAAGCAAGGCTCTCGGTTTCCTCCTCCTTCCCCATCTGCTGGTCGGACTCCAGGGCTGTACAGGAAGTGAAATCATAAGATTGAAGGAGCCTGGGTCCTTGACTTACCATGTAGAGGAAATGGCCTTCTATGGACCATCCTCGTATAGACTAGCCCATGAGCAAGAAATAAAGTCTTCTTGTAATACTCCAGCGATGTGGGGGCTTATTTGTTGCAATAGCTCATGGGGCTGTTTAATGTGGCACAGAGTATGGGGGACTTGTGAGCATCATGTGGTCCAGGTCCTGTATGTTAAGAATAAGGTCTTGTTGTAATTGAGATAACTCTTTAATGATCCGATGTCCAAATATGGTCATGCTCTAGAGTAATGGGAGTTAAAACTCCAGCAAGTGAGTTTGGAGCAGACACAATTCAGACCATAACACCCCAGATCTAATCAGCTACAAGGGAGCAGGAGAGGGCCTCGGAGACAATGAACAGATACCCTAACTGACAAAGCCCGGCCATCTGTGGCACCCACCTGCTTCCTTTACCCCTGCCTAGACACCTCCACCCACCCTGATCGTCAGCACCAATTTTGTTCATTGAGTCTTCTCTTGACATAGTAACTGCCTGGAAGTGTCTTCTGATCAATACAGTGATCTGGGCTTAGTCTACACACCTCTTGTGTCATGGATATAGGGCTTCTGGGTTTTTTCACTTAGACACATTTATGGAGATCACTATGGTGCAGTGGTTCAGAGTGTGGACTTAATTGTGCAACTATAGGCAAGCTACATCATGACCCTGTTTTAACTGGGATGAGTTACACTTACTTCATGGGCATGTGTCACTGTGCCCAAAATACCTGTCATAAACGGCTTAAAGGAAGAAAAGCTCATTTTGGTTCAGGGTTCCAAAGATTTCAGTGCAATTGGCTGACTCCATTGCTCTGGGCCTGAGGAGATGCAGAATGTCCTGGTGGAAGGGCGTGGTGGAGGAAAGTGGCTCAGCTCAGGGCAGCCAGGAAATGGGGAGAGGGCTCCCAGGTCAAGACCCCAGTGATCTACTCCCTCCACTTGCTTTCACCTTCTAGTAGTTTATCCAGCTGTTAATGGATTAATCCACCAAATTATTAGGTCAGAGCCCTCAGTATCCAATCATTGCCTAAGAGCCCCACCTCTGAACCTTGCTGTTTTGGGGACCACACTTTCAACAAATGAGCTTTGGGGGGATGTTCCAAATCCAAACCCTAACAACATGCAACGTTGAAATGAGCTAAGACACAAAATGCTCAGCAGTGTGATTGACACCCAGGTAAGCACTCCAGGAACATTATTATTCTTGGGGACCTCCTGTGTGCCAGGAACAGCTTGGGATGCTGAGTGTATAGTCACATCACAGCTGATAGTATCCAAGTCCCAGCCTCCCTGACAGATCCTAGTGACTTGGAAGCCACAACCAGATGTGAGTCGGCACACCTGGGACACAGGAGAGGCTCTGTAAATGCTTCTTCTCGAAGTGAAATGAGGCAAGAAGGATGAAAAGGAGACATGAAGACTGAGTGCAGCAGAACTCCTTCCTCTAGCCCAGGCCCTCGGCTTCACTCGGAGAGTCCGTTGATGGTGCATTTCTGCTGCGTCGCTCAGAAGAAAAAATCCGAAGCTCTTCTCCTCCTAGGCACAGGGAGATGCTCTCTCTTCCCGGAGCACCCTTCTGCCAATGCTTCCTGGCTCTGCCGCCCAAAATGTTTTCAGGTCTTGGGTGATCACCGTGGTCTTCCTCAGCACCCTACAATTCCTCTCTTTCCACCATTAACAAAGAGTCATGATTGATTGTCACAAACTCCCGGGGAGGTTGGGAAGGCAGTCACTTTAAAATGGAGAACAGCTAAGACATTTACTCTCAGATGCTGACATTCAAGGAAATATCGTCCGTGGTAATAAGGACCCAGCGCTGAGGGGCTGTCGCACTCCACACGAGACCCGGCACAATTCCAGACGTGATGAATTTCCCTCCTTCTCCCAGGCTTTTGCATTTCAGTGTTGAATTCAAACAGAATCTGATCTGTTATCTCCAGAACATTTCAACATCTCATTTATCTCCCCCATGAAAACCCATGCAAGCCTTTTGAACCCTGCTTGTTCTAACCAATGTTTACTGATTCTATTTTTTGACGGAGGCATTTGAAGACTCTGACTTCACCTGGCTTGGTGATAAAGGACACCGAGCAGAACAGAGCCTTCCAGCCCTCCACTAGAGACCTCTTCCTAGGAGCTATGGAAGAGTGCCACCCGCTGGCAGAGATGTCAAACTACACCGGTTTAGGAAGTTAGTATATTTGACCCCTGTATTTAGCAGGGCTCAGAGTGTGGGCAGTGCCACAGAAGGAAAGTCAACAGCCCCTCTTGAAGGGCCCGCTTGTCTCCCGAATGTTGGGTGTTTATCTCAGGATGGCCTCTATTTATCCTATAGAAAGAGGGCTCAGTTACTAAATTCAGAAACAACGGAGCCCAGATGCCTGGAGGACCCAGTGCAGTTTCTTCACTAATATCTGTGGTTGTCAGGGGTGGGACTGTCTGAGGAGTGACTGTTCTAGAATCCACAGGTGATGTGTGGCAGAGATGGAGCTCAAAACATGCTCACCTAATCCAGTGTTCTTCCTGTATAAGTTTTACAACCAGAAAAATAAATGTCAGGAACAACCATCAAAAAGAATCAAATTAATTTATATTCCCATCCCATCTCTTCTCTGTTCACAGGCAGGCTCAGCTCCTCCCTCTTGGAAGAATAAAGCCAAGCTCCTTAGCTGGGCATTCGGTGTCTTTGTGATCTGGCCCCAGGTTGTCTTTCCAGATGATTCTAGAGAATGCTCAGTTCTGGAAAAGTCTACAAAGACACTGGGACTCAGGGCCCATCCACCTCCCCTCTCCTCCTTCATTGCTCTGTAGGAAGCACCTATGCACCAAGAACTAGGCCAGCTCCTAAGGTTAGAGGCTCTGGGGTCACGCCTGCCCCTTCTTCCCAGGTAGGCCCATGGCCTGGCGTGTGCAGTGTCCTCCCTGGGGAGACACTAGGGTTTTGCAGGGAACAGGGAAGAGATAACTGTATTGGAATGCAGGTAGTGACGAATCACTATGATGGGGCCACATGGGGACAGACGGGCAGAAGATCAGGTCCTGCAAAGGCCACTTCTAGCACACCAGGAACAGGAAGGCCAACCATGTGAGGAAGAAGAGCTCTGGACAGGGACTCCCAGAAACCTAGGTCCTCATCCCCACTCTGCTAAGGGCTATGTGGTGTTAAGGTTTAAATATAAAATGTCCCCTCCAATATACGTGTGGTACTCAGCTTTTGTGGTGGTGTTGGGAAGTGGGGTCTTTAAGAGACAATTAGACCATTAAGTGGGGTTCATACGTTTGAGTTTTCACTCTCTTGGGACTGGATTTCTTACTGTCAGAGCTGCTGGTTATAAAGCAAGTGCCTCTCATGATTTGCCTTTCTCACACACACTCACTCACACTTCCACTTCCTGCCATACATGAAGCAGCACAAGGTCCTCAGCAGAAGCTAAGAAGATGCTGGCACTGTGCTTTTGGACTTCCTGGACCCAGAGCCATGAACCAAAATAAACTTTCATTTCTCTATAAATTACCCAGCCTCAGGTATTCTGTTATAGCTACAGAAAACTAAGAGAGCAAACTTGAGCAACTCCATTCCTACTCCATGATGCAGTTACCCCCTTGGTCTAGTGAGGATGTCAGCAGGTGACCTTGAAGATCCTTCTGCCTACTGAGCCAGCTTGATTGTCATCTCTGAAACCTCAGACATCCCCCTCCCCTGCCAACTCCACTGCTGCATAAAGACTCATACCTCTGAGAATTTTGTGATTTCTCTATGTGTTTCTGTTCTTTCTTCTTGACCAAGAGCTGTTTATCCCAATACTCTGACTCCTAATAATTAGGAAATACGCCCGGATTGATGTTTCAGGAACACCCATTCCCATATCTGTAATTCTGACATTGGACACAAGGTGGCGCTTTGCACAGACGACTGACACTGCTATTTGGTTGACGTTCTAGGAAGATGCTGAAAGCAGCAGCAGGAAAACCTTTTTGCAAAGGCCTATCCTCTCTGGCCCCTTCCCCCTCCTGTAAAATGGCAGTCTATCAAGCAGCAATACAGACCTGATGCACTGTGGCCAAATTGGGGTTGCACCACTTCCAAGTTTCCCAGCAGGTGGGGCCAGGCTAGGGACCTGTCTTCACTGACCCTTCCAGCCTGGCCCCCACTCCTCCCCACTCCCTGAGCCACTGCAGCTGTGTGCCTTTCTCCTGCTTCCCGACTTCACTGTGCTCTCTCTGAACTGCATGGCTTCCCGCACACGGCTCTCCACTCTCTTTCCAGGCCAACACCTTTTAGCTCTTTGAGATTCAGTTTAGAAATCTCCTTCTGCAGACCTTCTTTGACAACCCCACCCCCATACTTATTTTTGGTACCAGGGATTGAACCTAGGGTCAGGCTCCCAAGCTGCTAGGATCACAGGCGTGCACCACCACATCCCCCGCCTCCATATTTTTCTATGGCAACATTGACTGCACTGAAATTGCTTCCTCATGCCACCAGTTTGATCATAGAGCTGGTGTGTTTCTGTTCTTTCTTCTTGACCAAGAGCTGTTTATCCCTGTGCTACATCCCCGGGGCCTAACACACACCTTGCACACAGGGCTGGGCCTCAAAAAGTTTGAGGAATGAAGAACGAATGTGTCCATGAATCAGTGAGTCTATAAACTAAGATGTGTGCTGCAGAAATATGAATGGAGTCCTGCTCTCCTCCCCAACAGGGGAGATGTGTGGAGAATAAGAAAAACAAAACCAAAAACCTCTAATGTTTTGCCTGACTGGGGAGAGCACCGATGCTCCTTAGCACAACAAGGGCACATTATTACCTTCCTGTACAACACACCAAGAGGCAGGTC